GCCGGAGCCTCAGGTGGGCCGGAGCCGCCGCGCCCAGGAGCCGCCGGGGCCGCCGCTAGGTGAGGCCGCTGTCCCCTCCCCGGGCCTCGGCACCGCCTCCTCCTCGGCTGGGACTGGGACTGGGACCAAGAGCGCCGCCGCCTCCGCTGCTGCTCCCGCTGTCGCCGCCGCCGCTGCCGCTGCCGCTGCTGCTGCCTCCGCCACCAGCGCCGCCGCCGCCGCCATTCTCCGCGGCCGCCGCCTCCTCCTTCTGTAGCCTCCGCCGCCCCAGGCCTGGGGGGAGGCGCTCGCCCGCCCGCCGCCGCCGCCGCTGCCGCCGGGCCGCCTGCCCCCCGCCCCCGGCTCCGCCCCCTCCGGAGCGACGCCCCGCCCCCGACGGCCGCCTCCTCGCGACTCCCGGCAACCGCCGCCGCGCCTCCAGTAACGTGCCGCCGCCGGGGCCAAGTGCGAGGGCGGAGGAGGGGGGCGCCGTCGGCCGCGGGGGCGCGGGGGAGCCCCGGGAGGGACAAAAGCAAGGCCGTCGCGGCTGTCGCCGGCTGTGGACATTCCTCCTCTTTGCGGGTCGCCGTTCAGCACCCCCCCACATCCCTTCGTCCCACACATTGATTTCCGCTCCCCAGACTTCCCGCCCCTCTGCTGAGCTAAGGTACAGTCCGCTCAGGAGGAGCTACTGCGGGCTGAGCGGGAGATGGACACCCCGCTGCCCCGCCCCTTTCCCCGGCCTTTCCACCCCCGGCCAGGCCGAGTCTAGGTACAATCCCCTCCCGAGGGCGCGCCGGGGGCAGTGTGTGATGACGGACAGGCCTATGGCCCCGCCCCCTGCCCTCTAAGGTGAGCGGTCCTCGGGCACCGCCCCCGCCCCTTCCGCGGGCCGAACGCTGATTGGCCGGCGGGCGCAGCCCGTCTGAGGCCCGCCCCCAACTGGCAGCGCCCTCCCTTCCGACCCCCCGCGGCGAGCACGTGGTCCCTGGTTGGGGAGGCTTCTTCTGGGAATTGCTTTGTGTGTTTTGTGGAAAGTGTTGGGGGATGGCTGTTAGGCCATCGGGAATCCCCCAGCCCTCGGGGGCGATGCGGTGGACCTAGGAAGTCGCAGCATCTGCTTGGCGGTAGCCGTGTGACCTTGGGCGAGCCTGACCTCCAATCTATTCTGTCCGTAGCTTGTTCGTGTTTTGTCTCCCCCGTTAGACTGGGAGCTCTTTGAGGACAGGGACTGAGCTTTGCAGGGCCAGGCATATAGTAGGTGTCTAATGAATGCTTACTGACTGACCGAGTCGCCTAATCTCACTTGTGAAATAAGGAGGTTGAGCTAAATAAACACCCAAATCCCTGAGACTCCAGTGCAGTCTGGCTTCCAAGGCTATCTGGTCTACCCTGTGTCTGAAGCTTGAATCCATAATACATGGCCATTCTGGGAGGGGGGCAGACCCTAGTACTACCTTTTCCATTCTGTTTAATTCCATAAACATGTATTAAGTGTCAGGCACTGTGCATAAGCCCTGTGTTATTTTACAGATGAAAATAATATTTTACGGGGACTCCAGAAACTGGAATCCTGAGGACTGACTACCCTACCAAATCTAAATCTGCCTCTGGGCAACTTTCACCCAAAGCTCCTAGCTCTGCCCTTTGGGGCCAAGGAGGACAAATAGAATCTCTCTTCCAAAAAAAAAAAAATAGAAATGTTCCAAATATTTGAAACAAGCTATTTCTTCTCTTCTAAATTTTCTCTTGCTCAGGCAAAACATACCCACTTCCTTCTACCTGCCCTTTGAGGGCCTGATCTCCAGCTCCTTCATCACCCTGGTCTCTGTCAATACTCTTCTAAAAATCCGAGGCCCAGAGCTAAACACAGTCCAGCAGTCTGATCTGGGCAGATCTTTAAAATGTTTGTTCTTCTGCCTCCAACTGTCATGGTTGTTACTCAAAACATTTCCTTTAAATGCTAATGAAAAGTTCACCAGCGCAAAGAACAGCAAACTCACTGACTGCACATACCGGAGCTAAATAATCATTTCAGAGAGGATGGAGGTCAGATTCAGACCTAGGCTGACAGCCAGAAAGGGACAACCTCTAGGGATCCTGGGATCACCCCTGGGGGAAGCATGGTGAATTTTTAAAACGGGAGGTTGTAGCTGGACCAGAGTGGCACAGTAGCAAAACCAGGCATGGGGACACCAGGTTCTCATCTTAGGGTGCCCCTTAAAAATTGCTTTCTGACCTTGGGCAAGGCATTTGTTTGAAGACTTTAGTTTTTTCATCTGCAACATGAGAAAGCTAGACTAGGTGGGCCCTGATATCATACCCATCTATTAGTTTAGTGCCTGGTACATAATTGGTACTTCAAAAATGCATTGCCTTGCCTATGATTTCTAAAGCATATATTCAATTCAACAAACATTCACTAAGTACGAGTTCCTGTGTCGGATGGCCAAAGACAAAAAGACAAACAGTCCTATTTCCAAGAAACTTGCTATCTGCTAACTCAGCCAATGCAAGATAATTTAGGTAGGAAAAGAGCACTTAACTAGGGAATTACAGCAAAAGCTCCCTTTAGGATGAAGGAAAATATATAACTTTATTTTCACTAATATTTAACTGAAAGTTAGCATTTCCTTCAATGATTTAAAAGCACAGTTCTGAGGAGGGGTCCATAGGCTTCCACGAGTGGCCCCAGGGGTCTGTAATATGCACATACATGTGACAAATCTCTGTTATAGGGAATGACATGTGGGTTGAGCAATGAAGAAAGTTCAGGCCAAAATGCATTCAAGGCATAAAGACAAAGGTGGGAGATGGGATGTTGAGTTAGTTGAGGGTGGAGGGCAGCTAGTAGTTTGGCAGGACAAGAGTGAGGAGTGAGGAAATTCATCTGGAAAGGAAGTCTACCTTGGCAGTCACGGTTCCTATTTCTTTGCTTTCCCACATTGTCCAATTAAACCAGCCTGCTAGCTAGCTATTCCCTGTCACATAACTCTGCCTCCATGTCTTTGCCCAGGTGATGCCCTAACCTGCAACGTACTACTTCCTCTCCTTACCCTGGAAGAGTCATGTTTCCTTAGCGCAGCTCAGGTCCCTGATCCCTGACTGGGTGGTGCTTTCAGTCTCAAGCTTTGTATCCAGGTATAAGTAACTTTGTATCAAGGTACAAGTAACTTTGCATTTTCTTTTCTGGGTAGATGCCCTGTTCCCCACATGAATGTATTCAAGGACAGCTACTGTTTCGTTTTTATATGTGTCATGTTATGCCTTGGCCCTGGGAGTCTTGTTGAATAGAATTGGAATGATTAGGAGGCTTATAGAGTTAATTCATTTAATGTACATAAAGGATTACATATGTGCAGCATATAGAGATTATCTAGGCCAGTTTCACAGTATGGTTGCCAAAATCTAGTCCTGATTCCACAAATTTTGCTTTCGGGGAATATGACCCCAGCGGTTGGCTAACCTAGTTTTGGAAGAAACACAAATGTGAATCCCACAGTCAGGACTGGTGACTGGGGGGATGCAAACTCACCTACTTTATCTGACTGTCCTCAGGCCATGCTTCACATTCCAGCCCAGCCACCCCAGAGGCTCCTCTGCTTTCCATCCCTGGTTCTGGGGACAGTAATCAAATCAAGTGCTTAGCACTTAGTCTGACACAGAAAGGGCTGCTTAAAATATGCTAAGGGACTGACTGAGGAGACTACCATTGCTTTAGGAAAGATGTGACAGCTCCCACTTAGGGATACTCACTCTCCCTGTGATTCACCAGACCACAGCTCTTTTCCATGCCTACCACTCCCTAATAGAATGTTGCCACTCTCATTAGAATATAAACTACTCGAGGGCAAGGGACTTTCTCACTTGAATAGTTCTATTCCCAGTGCTTAGCATCATTACAATATTGCTGTTACTATGTACAATGTTCTCCTGTTTCTGGCTCACTTCATTTTGCATCAGTTGATATATGTCTTCCCAGATTTTTCTGAAACCATTCTGCTTGTCGTTTCTTACAGCACAATAGTATTCTGTCACAATTATATGCTATAGATTGTTCAGCCATTCCCCAGTCAATGGACATCCTTTAATTTCCAATTCTTTGCCACCACAAAAAGAGCTGCTATAAATATTTTTGTACAAATGGGTCCTTTTCCCAGTGTGTGTGTGTGTGTGTGTGTGTTTAATCTCTGGGATACAGACCTAGAAGTGATATTGCTGGGTCAAAAACTATGTACAGTTTTATAGCCCTTTGGGCATAGCTCCAAATTGTTCTCCAGAATGGTTAGACCAGTAATGAACATTTATTAAGCACTTACTATTTGTCCGGTTCTTTGCTAAGATGTTCTATGCATTCCAATTCAATTCAATTTAAAGGTAATACAAAGATATATGCTCAGTAGGTGATAGAAGGCAGAAAGGAAAGAAAGAAGGAAGAAATATAACAAGTAGTAGAAAGAGGCAAGATTTAATTTGGTTAGTTTCTCATAGATCAGATCATAACCCTTCTCAATGAAAGAAATAAGATTAGGAAGAACCTGGTCAATTTAGCTTGATGGGATGGTGTATATAGGTGGAGTCAGGAAGGCCTGAGTGGGAATGCTGGATCAGACACAAGTCCATGTGACCTCTCAGACTCAGATTCCTCATCTTTAAAATGGGGTTAATAGCCCCTACCTCACAGGGTGGTTGTGGGGATCAAATGAGATACAAATGCTAGTTATCACTATTAGAAAGTAAAGCCTTTGTTCTAGCTTCAAAGAGGCTTAGAGTGGAAGATGTGAACATCCCTAGTGAAACACTAGGAGTACTTTTATCAAAGTCTCTAGCACACAGAGGACAAGGAACCTCTTCATGCCATAATTTGGAGATGTGAGCAAAATCACTAGGTAGCAAAGAGATGTCTTTAAAGCTAGAACAAAGGACTTCTGTCTGACTTTGTTAACTTGACGTGGTTCCTTTTGTTCATACCCTTTACGTAGTATTTATGAGGTATGGAGCCCAGTACATTGCATTGCCTGTGAACTTCTTGCAGAGCTAAGCTGGTCTGCAGATGACAGCTAGATCTCCTCTCAGACCCTTTTCCCTGGTAAAAGTGGAGGCCTGGGAAGAGTAGAGGCAGTAGGAAAGAGATGCCAGAAAGTTCTCAGTTATCTAGTCAGTCAACAAACATTTATTAAAGTCTTACTGGTGCTGGACCCTATGCTAAAAAAGGGGGGGGGGAGTTAAGGGAAGCATTTATACAGGGTACCTACTATGTGCCAAGTACTGTGATAAGTGCTTTGACAATCCTGTCTCGTTGAATTTTAAGGGATAGTGAAGGTACAGTGTAGGGAATACACTAGGGATACAGGAAAATGCAAAAAATAAAACAAAAAACCCCAGGGTCACTGCCCTCAAGAAACTCACTTTCTAATTGGGGAGACAACATGCAAGTAACTAGGTAATACAAGATATAAATAGAGGAAATGGAAGACAGTCTCAGAGGGGAAGACATTAGCAGCTGGGAGGGACCAGGAAAGACCTCCAAAGGAAGGTGGGATTTGGGCTGAGTCTTGAAGGAAGCTAGGCAAACTAAGAGGTTGACATGAAGCAGGAGAGCATTCCTGGCACGGGTGGGGCGGGGGTGGGGGGCACGGAACCAAGGCAAAACACAAGAAGGTGGGAAATGGAATGTCTTGTTCTAGGAATATTAAGTAGGCCAGTGGCTAGAATCGATTGATCAAGGTTTTGGTGGAGGGATCAGAAGTCTGGCAAGGCAGGAGGAAGGGCCCAGGTTGTGAAGAGCTTTAAATGCTAAACAAGGCTTTAAATCTGCCCCTCGAAATAAAGGGGAATCATTGGAGTTCGCCGAGCAGGGAGTAACATCATCTGATCTGGGCTTTAGGAAAATCGCTGGAAAGAACATTGGATTCAGATTTTGCCCAGCTATCTGAATTTATAGATGAAGAAACTGAGATGCAGAGAGGTGGTGGCTTCACCAAAATGACACCCTTGGCTAGTGACCAAACTGGGGTCTAGCCTCATTAGAACCTAATTCTAAAGCCAAGGCTCCAGCTCCAGCTCTTGACTCTCTGGCATTTTCACTGGCTGTCCTCCA